TATTAATTGTATGCAGCCCAAAGTATATAACTCTAACTCTTGCACTTAATTTTATAGCTCCTTAGCATCAAATAAAATGCATTCCTTAGAAGAAAGAGCAAGTTGTCAACTGTGACATGGTTTATTTAACATTGTTTCTCTAATGTAATTTTGCCACATTAATTCTAAAGGGGCTATAAATTGAATCAATTCTGATTTTGTTAAAGTCTTTGAAAACAGTATTACATTCTTTGAGCCAAATGCTTATCTTATAGTAAACAAATAGGGAGCATTTTGAAATTCAATATTTGCTACATTTTTTGATTAGCTTGCAGAAATAATGGATGCAATCAATACTTGGACTCCCTGAGCAAAACGTATTTATTTCCTCTGTGAAAATCTTAGATACTTGGGCTTATCTATTGCTGCCTGATCTCTTTGATGGTCTTGCTGCTGCCACCCTGATCCAACACTCTCCTGGACCACTTCAATCTTCCAGTCATGCCTCTTCATCTCTCACCCCACATACAGTTACTATTTACATAGCAGTGATCTTTTAAAATTGTATAAGGTCAGGCCACAATTCTGTTTAAAGTCTTTCACGGCTTCCTATAACAGAACACAATTCACACGCCCGCCATCATTTAGAAAGCCCTGTGAGCTGGCCCCCGCCTTCCCCTCCAACACATCTCCCTTTGCCCTCTTTCTGTTCCAACTTGCTCTCAACACCTACATTAGTATTGTGTTCTGGAAATACACCTAAATCTTTCCCTACCTGGGGTTCTTTGCTCTTTCTGTTTCTTCTGCATATAACAGTTCTTCATATGATTAGCTTGTTATCATTTATGTCTCTGTTCAAATATCACCTCCTCAAAAAAGATGTTCTGTCTTCCTTAAGGCAGCTGTGCTTTCCCTCAGCAGAAATCAGTTTAGTTTCATTCCTATACTTACCCTCAGCTGAAATAGTCTTGGTTGTTTCTACCTTGTTTCCTATTTTGTTGCTAGAATGTGGGAACTTTAATGTATCACATATAAGATGCAGATGTCTTTTTCACCCCTTTATCTACAGTATATAGAAAGTGGGAGTTGGCTAAGCTTAATATCATGAATAAATAAATTCCAATCCCTACATTTTTGTAGATGATAAACCCCAATAGGCCAGAATGACTTTAGGCTGCTGCGTAGGTTTTCAGCTAGCTAAACGAAGGAATTATTTTATCAGTCATTTATTTCTTCATTCCTTAAGTAATTAAGCCAATAAATCACTTTTTTATTCTTTGTTGTACCCTATAGTCTAATATTGTATTGTTTTTATTCAATTATTTTCTTTATCTTTGACAATGTATGTGACACAAAAATACAAATGATAATACTATCAAAGAATATAAAATATCCTGTCGCTTGATGCCTCATAAAAAAGATTTATTTAACCTGGAAAAGAGAAATACACTGCTTAAAACATTAAATTATATATCAATAGATATTTAGAGGAACATCCTTTGGGAAAATACAAACAAAATTCAGGACTACAAACACGAATAACTAGACTGAATTTGTATATCCAGAGGCTATCTCACTGAAATTGAAGATATGCCTTTAAAGGCAAGTGAAATTGAAGCTTTGTACAGATATAGGAAGAACAAAATAAATGACACTACACAGCTCAGGAAGGCTATGTTGACTTGCATCATCATCATCATATTATTATTACTATTATTTTATCGAGACAGAGTCTTACTCTGTTGCCCAGGCTGGAGTGCAGTGGCGCGATCCTGGCTCACTGCAACCTCCACTCCCTGGGTTCAAGTGATTCTCCTGCCTCAGCCTCTTAAGTAGCTGCGATTACAGGCACCCACCACCACACCCGGCTAATTTTTGTATGTTTAGTAGATATGGGATTTTGCCATGGTGGCCAGGCTGGTCTCGAACTCCTGAACTCAGGTGATCCGCCCTCCTTAGCCTCCCAAAGTGTTGGGATTACAGGCATGAGCCACCACACTCGGCCTGCATCATATTATTTTTAATCTACCCCAACAGGTAACTTAATGGAATTATCAGAAACTAGGCAGTGTGGAAATGGTATAGGAGAGAAGGATGATGGACTGAGGACAAATTTAAATAGTTTTGTAGGAGGACATGATCTTTTCTCTGAAAAATAAAATGCATTTATTATATTTCAGGTATTATACTGGTTGTTTTATATGCATTATCATCTCATTTTGCATTTATAACATCTGTTAGTTAGCATAACATCACTATTAGTGCCCTACCTTAGATAAGAAAATGGAAGCAGAGAGGTAATTTGATCTATATAAGCTTAGAGAGAAGTAAATGGCAAATATTGGACTCAATCCTAGCCTAACCCAAAAGCCTATTTGTATTAAATACATGAAAACACTATCGTGTTGACCTCATCACATTTAAATGCATCACCACGGTTTTTCCATATTTAGATGTGCAATGCTATGAGCCAAAAAACAATTTGTTCTTATTGATAGTTATTTCTTTTGTTACTACCTCAACTCTAAAAGCAAATGGTTTGATTTAAAACTGAATTCCTTTTTTTTCCTAAGTAAAACCTTGGAAGTTCTTCAGTGGAATATTGAATTAATTATGATATCTCTATATTCTAAAAATTTTGAAACAAATAAAATAAATGAGTTCTATTCTTAAGGGCTGCCCAAGAAAGATGCGTAGGATAGACCATTAGGTGCAAGTAGTAACGTGCAGAGGTATATAATCCCTGTTTGCACGTTAATGTGCACAAGAGTATGGAAACATGTAGCCTATACTCTTAACAGTGGTTACCCAGTTGGGTGTGGAAATCCATTATTAAGTTCATCTTTACACTCATTTTTGTATAATCTGTTACAATAAGCATAGGTTACTTTCATAATTAATAATGAATATAAAGTAAATTTCCTCCAAATTATTTCTAAATATCTTCCTATGTGTTTGAATAATTTTCTCAGATGATTTTGTTTCTAATCTTAACCTCCTTTTACTCTTCTTTTAACAAAGCACCACATTTTTAATTTTTTACACACTAAGCTTCCAGTTAAGATTTCCATCGAATGAAAGACTCCCCAGCAAAAATAAATTTGAAAATTGTTGGTTTATGTGTTCTGCTTCAGTGAGATGCCTACTAGTCTGTTAGTAAAACCAGCTATTGAATATGGGGCATTCTTTATATATACATGCGCATTCATGAGGTTATGTGTATTACTAATTTTAGTATTTTCAGATTAATGAGAAAGTCCAGATTGCTCTTTATTATAAGAGCCATATACATACAGTTTTCTGATTAAATATGAACAGTGCTTGGTTTACTTAATTTGAAAGATCATTCTACTGAAAACATAGAGATCACAGCAATTTGTAGTCTGTGGCTTCAGCAATGAAATCACCAGATTACACAGAATATATTCATTTGCTGTTAAGGCACCTTGAAAGAAAACTTCTAGACAATGAGTTAAAACATTATCCTATGATTTAAAAGACTCTAATATAGAGAGCTGAAAATTGACAAAGAGCTAAAAAAGTGAATGTTTTAACCAACCGTGAACTATTTTTCAGCTAGGAAGTACCTACAAAATAAGTATGTAATTTTCTCCTCCAGTCTATTTCAGAATAACTAGAAGACAGCTTAGCTCAGTCTTCTATTAAAACTCTAACAAAAATCCCACAGAGATGTGGGCAAATCATTATTTTTACTCCGGCTGCAACATTACATTAATCAACAATGCATTCCACTGTAAATATCTGAGCTGGATATTTAACAACCCTGTGGTTAGCATCATTTGTAGTTAATTAAATTTGATTCAACAATTTTATTGAATACTCACTAGAATTCAATGCACTGTCTAGGTTTTGCAAAGCCCATGAAGATGTATAGAGCACAAGGGCGGCTCTCTAGGAACTCGCAATTTAGTATGGAAGACATACCCAGAACTAACTCTGATATAAAGCACAATATGAGAGGAACTGTATGTAACAGTAGTAAGAATATAAAGCACAGGTAGGGTCTGTTTATAGTTAATTCTAGTTTGGGCAGTGAGGAGGCTTCTGGGAAGAGGTAAACATTTTTTAGCTGGGGCTTGATGGTCAAACAGGATTTGGGCTTACAGTGGGAGGACTTGGGAATGGGGCAGGGGAACTATGTAGGAAGAACAAGGAAAACATTCTGTGCTGTTGGATAGGAGTGGAGCACGTCTACATTATAAGGAGTAAAACAGAGGAGGAAGAAAAGGGAGGTTAGGGCCAGATCAATAATGGCCTTAAATGAACAAGACTAACGGTATGCTTTAAATCACCCAAAGGTCCATTCATGAAAAAGAAAAAGACATTACTTCCAGTGGAGCTCTCCTCCTTTCATGATTACAAAGATTAGTATCCTTATTTTAAAAATTTAATTTAAATAAGACAGGATTTCTTAAGATCTGTAATTTGAAATAGACATTTTATTACATTAGATTATATGGTTAGTTTTTTGGGGGAGAGTGGTTAATCAATTTTTTGGTGTAATTAAGGAAAAGAACGATGCATTAAGCTACTTGGTTGTAGAGATCAGGAGCTGGAACACAAATAATATTGTCCTGGGACAGAGGTGGGAGAAACTAGAGAAAGTACTAAAAAAAGGGAGATGCCCCAAGGGGCATCACTATGCAATCTATTCACACTACCTGGAGAGTGTTAAATTACCTTCCCTCAATTTCACAGTCCTAAGAATGTATTTCTCCAAATGCAAGATTAACGTATTAATATATTTTCTTTGAAAGAATTTAAGCACTCTAATGTACCTCTGTTCTCTTCAGAAGAAACTCTCTAGCTCTTAGTTCACTGGCAGAACAGAAATAACTCACAATCCCAAATGTTCACCGCCTCTTTCCATTAGCCTACCTGCTGGCTCAGCCTAAGAGCTCCATCCAATTCTCTAGACTGCAGCTGGAAACCCATAGATTCTTCATATGAGAATCATCACCCATCCACACAGTATAAGCCTCCATGCTTTTAAAACCTACCATTCTAACGCCGTTTTCAAAGGCTTGCCGGGTGAGGGGGGCTGGTCCGTCCACAGTCTTGCCATCATCATCCGGGCCCCAGCTGGCGCTGTAAATGTGCACGTGCTGGGGGTTGAAGCTAACTGATTTTGCTTCAACCATGTCCGTGACATCTCCGTCCAGCATTCGCACTCCTTCAACACAGAAAGGAGAACTAGTTCATTACAGGGCTTCACTACACAACACTCCAAAAACATAGTTGCAGGATTCTCGGGGGGGAAAAATACATTTTTAATCAACACTTAAGTGAGCATATCTTCCCCTAGCAAAAGGATAATGTATACTTTGCAGGCAGTATCTTGGGCAGAAAGGATGCCACATTGCATATAAAAGAGCAAAACTTAAAAATGTTTTTTAATCCATCATTTTCTTTTTCTAAGGTTCCATTCCTTATAACAGCTGCCACAGTCTCTCCCTTCGCATCCCTCTCTTGAGTGAGTACTTGACAAAGAGATCTTCAAGCAATCTATCTTCCTTAAACTCTTTATTGAATAACTTGTGTTCTTAATTGATATAAAACATTCTATCTAACCTTAGCAGTCATATACTATTTGGAAAGCTGCCAAGGTAGGATGGTCTCATGTCTTCCATATTTAATATTAGCCTCTAATCATAAGATTGATGTGAACTTAATGTTTCTTTTTTTGCTAAGTTATTTATGTCAAATAATAAATGAGAATGATCTCTGTGGATGTAACAATTCAAATAATTCTCAAAGGGTTTTAGCCATGTTTAGTTATTAATCTTCATTTAAGCATATTTCTATTAAACAGATACGAATTTATTATTAACCCTACTTTGCAAAAAGAGACACTAAGATACTCAGAAATAAATCCTATGCCAAATGTCAGGCTTTCCTTTTTCCTTTTATTTTGGAGGCTCATAAAAACAACCACAACCAAGCATCTAATTGTTAAGTAAACATATCTCTCCTTCAGCTTAAATTAAATACCATCACTGAAACACTGTATCATTTAAAAATTACATTTTTACAGGCCAAATTTAATCCTTAGGAAAACCTTGTCATCAGTAGGATTTTAAGTTTTTATTGGTTATCAACAAACGGGGATTAAATAATAAAACCCCAAACCAAGTAGCTTTAGACAGAGTTATGTGAGTTGAGGTGGGAATACTGGTAGAAATAAAAATATTATTGAAGTAACTATATCTTCTTTGTGCATTAAAAAAAAGTTTAACTTTTAACTATAAAACTTGCAAACAAGGAAAAATAGAAAGAATGAAGAATGAACATGTATATACACATAGCCACTACTCAATAACTGTTAACATTTTGTCTCATTTCCTTAATCCAAAAATATAGATATTAGGTTGAACTATTTTAAATTCCATGACAGATATGACCCTTCATCCTTTAAAATTTCTTACAAAAAAGTAGCGAAATAGTTCCCATTGTCATCCAACATCTAGCCAATATTCCATTCCCCTCCATGTGTCTCTAAAGACATTTGGGTGTTAATGTCTTTTGACTGTCTTTCCTCGAGACTTTTGAATTTTTAATGGAGATGTGTGTTAACAGGAGAGGCGGAGAATGAAAGCTATGAACAAGTTCCATTACAAATTTTGGAATGAAAATTGGAAAGTTTTTCCATGGTTTGTTTTGTGTGAGTAAAAAACCCTACATAATGATCTCAATGTACTGCATCATGAGAAACCACTGGCTTAATTTAATTTAAATATTCAAAATTCACCTGCATGTCTTTTAGCAAAGAAAGATGAACGACTCCATCCCTCTCTCTATTGAAAAGCATAAAATGAAACTATTTTATTGGTACAATGAGGTCTGAAATAAACACAGTAATTGCCCCAAATAAGCTCACTAGTGTTCTAAATGCCAACAGGAGAGTAGGACGTAACACTTGAATTCAGTTTCTATGTCATGCACAAAAAAATGCTTGTAAATCATACTTAGAGTGTGATGTTCATTTTCTAATAGAAATTTCACAAAAAAGATTTTTACTTTGTCAAGTTTAAAGATAAAAGGCTATTTTTTCCTCATTTAACTCCAAGCCTTCATGCCTTGGGTATGGGGGTTAAATTTATTATTCAGAATGTTCTTGTTTTAGAACATTTTTGATTTGTTGCCATACATTCCTTTTTTTTTTTTTAAACAAGGTTCTGTAAGCTAGGTCACTGGTTTATCTGTGAGTTCACAAGTTCATCCTCTCATTTTTTCAAAATTATTAAGATTTCTGAGTTTGTGCTGGAGAGTAATGATAAGAACCCAGAGCTGTGTGTCTGTGTACGCGAGAGACTATATCCTGGACCATGAGAAGGGCTGACCTAGCAGCCTCTGATCTAATTCTCTTGGGATGATGAGGGGCCTCCAGAACTCTCATCGTTCTTCAGGAAATGAAGAATTTTTTTCTTTGCCTCTTTTCTTTAGCTCTTTCATACGCGTTGTGCTTAATAAATAGCAGATGCTCCCCGCTAATTAATTACTGCTTAACAAACTATCGTACTCATAAGAATTCAGGGGGAGAAAAAGGAAAGAAAGAGGTCAAATGCACTGTGGACTGATATTCAAGGTAGTTTCAGAAAGCCTTTTCTTAGTTCTATTATTGTATACCTTAAATATTTCATGTTAGGGAAACTCTATATTCATATTCCTATCCCAGAAAGAATTGTCATTTTTATTTTTTAGTTCCAACACTATTTCCCACTTGAAAACAAATAGTGCATTGGAAACAAGGAGGTCAACCTGGTTCCAGGAGCCTCATTCATCTTATGACACCCTTAGGAGACCCCTAGGGAAGACCTTTAGGGATAATGATAAAATCATGAAGATACATAGACTGTATTACAATATTTTCTTCCCATTTGTGTGTGGCTGTGGCACCGGGCTGTTTCTTACAAAGATGATTACAAATGGGAAAGTTAAGAGTTTGCTTTTATTAATGCTTAAATTTATACAGCTTTGGCTGGGTCCTTATAATAATTGAGTTTGTACATATACATGCCTGCATATAGATATAATCTGAATCATTCATAGAAATAGTATCACTACGTTATGGGACTACAAAAGGAGATTTTTGCCATCTATCATTTTAATTACAATTAAAAGGAACTTTTAAAAAGCCTAAGCCAAAGGAAAAAAACAAAAACAAAACCAGGATTTTCTTACTTTGAGAGAATTACAAAATGCTTCTTTCCATAGAGGTATTATGGCCTAATGTTTATATGATTAGTTCTTTCTGACCCAGGCACCAATTGTAGTATTTTGGTACAAATGTCAATGACCCCCATCTTCACTACTAGATAACATTTTTTCAAGTCTGTTTAAAAGAAAAGTGTTTACAATAGTTTAGGGTGACTGCTTCAGAAGTCTTTAACTAAATACATTTAACAGCACCTGCTAACATAGTCATGTTGGGGCCAGCAATAGTTGAACGCTATTATGTAAAGATATGCCCAATCGTTTAACCTCCATTTAAAAAGGATTCTGAAAGCCAGTCAACCAAAGAGCTAACTGGTGCATTTCTACATCCACGTAAGTTGGTTTCCCATACCTCCGATCTTGGCGTTGAAAGCAATTCCGACTGTGCAGTGCGAATTGTTTGCAGCGGCTGCCACTTCTCCAGCACAGCGAGTCCCGTGCCTGTAGGCAGAACACACACACTTTCTAAAGTAAGACAAGCACCGTTCTCACAAAGCCAACGCATCACTGCCACCACTCAGAGTGGTGAAGAATGTACCCAGCTGTGGTGTTTCTGGAACTTCCTTCCCAAGTAGCACTTTGTCTGTCCATGGCAAACTTCTAGCACTTAATTAGACCGTTTTGGATTATATTCTTGACATGTTTATTTTGGATATCTTGCTTTCCCAACCGGACAATCTCCTTAAAGGATAAAAGTTAGAAAAACTTCATTTCTATATCCCCCAAACATCTACTGATCCGCATAGTGGTCACTGGATATATGTGCTACCAGATGTTTGAAATGTGACTACTGCAACCTCATCTCAATTTTTTATTTAAGCTTAAGAACTAATACTCAAATCAATTATTAGAAAACTTAAGATGGGTATGAGAATCTGCTTTTTAAATTGTAAATTTAAATACAGATCAAGTATTTCCAATACAATTTACTAGCTGAAATGTGATGTGCTTTAAATAAACACTGGATTTCAAAGATTTTGTATGCAAAAATGAAAAGGTAAAATATCTTATTAATCATTGTTTTATACCAGATACATGTTAAAATATTTTATTTAATAAAATATGTTATCCACACTTATTTTACTTGTTCTCACCTTTTTACTTTTTAAAAGAAATGTGAATACTAGAAAATTAAAAAAATACATCTACCGAAAAAGCATTCTCTGTTATTTCTTGTCACAATAATTTTGTGCCTTGATCAGAGAAATCTTTTAGCTGAAAGAACTTCTAAGATCCTCTTTCAAGGATGGCAAAGAAGTTTTCAGTATAAAGTACAATTTGCTTAGAAACGGTGGCTTAAGACTGTGTGCTGAGAAGAATTCTAAAGTGTGACTGAGCCCAGAGAAAGAACACTAAGACTGACCTCTAACGTCTGCCATGCCTGCAGAAGGGGGATGTAAGAGTCATTACGGTTTATCTGTCATTGCTAATGAAGTTAAATGCCCATCCCTTCCCTCATTTTTAGAGAAGAGGGCATCTAGGACCAGAGATATGAAAAGGTATGTTGAGAGTAGCACAGTTAGCAAAACAGTGACTAAAACTCAAGTCCCCAAATCCATTTCAGTGCTTTTAATTTCACAGTACAGCTGCCTCAGACCACTACTCTCTGTGCAACTATAATCAAGTTACTGCTTACAACTGAAAGGTACACATACAAGTTTACAGAAAAGAGATATATACTGATTTTTTCACTTAGTAATATTATGCATATCTTTCTATATAAATATTAATCTATATATTATCTTAATGGTTATTAATGTACTGCATAATTCCTTAAATGATATATATAAACGTTTGTGTTGTGTGTGTGTATCTGTCAATATATACACACACCATAAGCTTTTTAACAAGTCCTCTTTTCCTGCAACTTTGCTCAGTTATTCACTAATATTAACAACAATATGAAGAACAATCTTGAGTACACATATCATTTTATGCCTTGGGACGAATTCTTAGAAGTAGAATTACTGGATCAAAGAGTAGAGAGTATGTTGTCAAATTGTTAACAGCACACAAAAGTAATATAACCAAAACTCATAAAAGTTGCAAGATCGAAACAATTACTACACAACGAAAACTGTAAAAAAACGGATCAAAGAAATTGAAGAGAACACAAGCAAATGAAAAGATGTTCCATGCTCCTGGACTGAAAGAATTAGTATTGTTAAAATGTTCATACTACCCAAAGCAATCTACAGATTCAATGCAATCCCTGTCAAAATACCAACAACATTCTTCACAGAAGTGGGAAAAAAAAAATCCTACAATTCATATGAAACCACAAAATATTCCAAATAGCCAAAACAATCCCAAGCAAAATAACAAAGCCGCAGACTTTAAAATATAGTAAAAGTTGTAGAAACCAAAACAGCATGGTACTAGCATGAACCAACAGAAGAGAATAGAGAACCCAGAAATAAATCTATGCATATACAGCCAACTCATTTCTGACACAGGTGTCAAGAGCATATACTGGGGAAAGAAGAGGCTCTTCCATAAATAATGCTGGGAAATCTGGATATCCATATTTAAAAGAATGAAACTATTATGCCCCCTCCTCCACTCACCTCTCACCCTATATGGAAATCAAATTAAAATGTAAGACCTGAAACTATGAAACTACTAGAAGGAAATATTGAAGAAATGCTTTGGGACATTGGTCTGGGCAGAGATTTTTTTTGAGTAACACCTCAAAAGCTCAAGCAACAAAAGCAAAAATAGACACATGTGATTATACAAAGCTAAAAACCTTCCACAAAGCAAAGGAAGCAATTAACAGAGGGAAAAGACAACTCACACAACGAGAGAAAATACCGGCAAACTCTCCGACCAGGGATTAATAAACTGAATGTGTAAGTCACTCAATAGCAAAAAGCCAAGTGATCCAATTTTAAAATGGGCCAATGATTCGAATACACATTTCACAAAAGAAGACATATAATTGGACTACGGGTATGTGAAAAAAATGCTCAGCATCACTAATCATCTGGGAAATGAAAATTGGAGCCACAGTGAGATATCTTACCCTGGTTAAGGTGACTATTATCAAAAAGACAGAAAATAACAAATGCTGGCGAGAATGCAGTGAAAAGAGAACACTGCCGGTGGGAATGTAAATTAGTATAGCCACTAGAGAAAACAGTACGGTGGGTCCTGCAAAACCTAAACATAGATCTAGCTTATCATCCAGCAACCCCATGGCTGGGTATATATCCAAAATAAAGGAAGTCAGCCTATTGAAAAGATATCTGCACACTTATGTTTACTGCAGCACTATTCACAATAGCCAAGATAAGTGTCCATCAACAGGTGAATAAGAAAATGTGGTATATGTACACAATGGAATATTAGCCATAAAACAGAATGAAATCCTGGCCAGATGCAGCGGCTCATGCCTGTAATCCCAACACTTTGGGAGGCCAAGTCAGGAGGATTACTTGAGCCCAGGAGTTCAAAGCCAGGCTAGGCAAGATAGGGAGACTGCGTCTCTACAAAAATAAAAAAGAAATTAGCCAGTAGCCAGATGTGGTGGTGCACACCTGTTGTCCTAGAGACTCAGGAGGCTGAGGTCGGAGAATCACTTAAACCCAAGAGATCAAGGCTGCAGTGAACCATGATCATGCCACTGTACTCCAAGCTGGCTCACAGAGCAAGACCCTGTCTCAAAAAAAAAAAAAAAAAAAAAAAAAAAAATTAAATCCTGATATTCTCAGCATGGATGGAACCAGAGGTCATTATGTTAAGTGACATCAGCCAGGAGCAGAAAGACAAATATCGCATGCTCTCAAGCATACGTGAAAGCTAAAAAAGCTGATCATGAAGGTAGAGTAGAACGATGGTTAAGAGAGGCTGGGAAGGGTAGGACAGTGTGGGGGATGAGGAGGAGTTGGGGAATGGGTACAAAAATACAGTTAAAAAGAAGGAATAAGGTCTGGTGTTCAATAGCACAGTAGAATGATAATAGTTAATGATAACTTATTGTATATTTCAAAATAGCTAGAAGAGAAGATTTGGAAAATTACCTACAGAATGAAGATACATAAGGCAATGGATAATGTAGTTACCCTTATTTGATCATTATACATTGCATGCATATATTGAAATACCATATATAACCCATAAATATGTACAATGATTATGTATCAATCAAAATTTTTTAACAAGAAATTATTACTATAAAAAATTAAATTTTGTGCATGGCAAACAAAAAGGCCATAAGCCAAGCTGAATGACATATGGAGAAAATATCTGGATAAACCCCATGTACACACACCCCTGCATACGAGTTTTTCAATCTCTTTCATCCTTGACAATTCGACATGAAAACTGTTATCTCGTTGTTTCCCTCCTCCTGCCCCTTATATTTAATGTTGAACATTTTTCAAATATGTATTAACTATTTCTATTTCTTGCTTTGTAAATAACCTCTTCATGCCCTTTGCCCAAATTTCTTAATTTCCTTCCTGTCCTATCTGTCACAAATGTTTCCAAATTTAATATTTGGAACATACAATCTTACTGATATCAATTTTGGATTGTCATAAACAATTTCATTTTTTTTTTTTTTTTTTAAAGACACAGGCTCTTGCTCTACCACCCAGGCTGGAGTACAGTGGCTTGATCATAATTCACTGTAACCTCAAACTCCTGGGCTCAAGCAATTGTATCACCTCAGCCCCTTGAGTAGCCAGGACTACAGGTGTGCACCACCACAGCAGGCTAATTTTTAAACTTTTTTGTAGAGACAGGATCTCGCTATGTTATGCAGGTTAATCTCCAACTTCTGGCCTCAAGTGAATCTCACATCTTAGCCTCCCAAACCAATGGAATTAGAGACGATCTTTAATTTTCATGTACTAGTAATTATCTTCCCATTCTGGTATGTGGTTATATCATTTTAATCATCAAAAAATGATCAATTTAAAACATTTTTCAAAATTTTTATAGATTGATATATGAGATGTACATATTTTCAGTATACATGTGATAATTTAATACATTCACATAATTTGTAAAGATCAATTCAATGTAATTGGGATATCTATCATCTTAAATATTCGTCTTTTCTTTATGTTAGAAACATTTGAATTATTCTCTTTTAGATAATTTGAGATATACAATAGATTACTGTAAACTATAATCAATTGTAAACTATGATCAATTTTTAAAAGAAAAACTATTTATTTTGGAAACTCCAAGCTCACCTATTAATTTTCTCCCAAACCTAGCAATTATTAACTATAATCCTTCATTAGGCTTCATAAGTTATTTTTATTCAAATGTGTAATTCCTTTAATGAGACTACTGTTCTTATAGTCCATTGTATCTATTATTAATTAATGCCCAGTGCTACTGAACCACGAGGGCCTCTATTTTGAAATTCAGCTCTGGTTTATTTTTGGCCCATGGATTACTTGTATGTTTTGATATTTAAAAATATA